CGCCTCCACAGTTTCTCCACTAGATGAAGCCAAGGAGTTGCTGTCACTGTAGGGCGGATCAGCTGATTATTGTACACACCTGCTAGTCATCTACTGCAATCTTTCAGTGCTTAAGAGGAGAGGGTTTCCAGTCCACCGGTATTAGCCATTCATGGTACTCTGAGCCTGCCAGAATATGTCCTCTCTGTGGTCCATGAGTTTTTTTGTGGATTTTGTGATTCACCTTTATGATCTCATTTAAAGGTCCTCTGGATTCCACTCCCAGTGTTATTTTGGTTTTCTCCTCATGCTCTCAGCAGATAGAATCTTAGTGAAGACTCTTTCTGCTGACATAGAAGACTGCTTTTAAAACTCCAATTGGACATTTTGAGGACTTAATTATGCCCTTCGGCCTTTGCAATGCCCCAACCTTCTTTCAAGCCCTTGTAAATGACGTTCTCCATGATTTTCTGAATATTTTTGTGTTCGTTTACCTGGATGACATTTTCATATATTCTAAGTACCAGTCAGAACATAAGGAACACATTCGCCAACATTTCCTTGAAAACAGACTATATGTCAAAGCAGAGAGGTGCGAGTTTCACAAACTTTCTGTCACCTTTTTGGGCTACATCCTTGAGGGTTGACAAGTGCGACCTACCCCCTTAAAGGTCCAAGCAGTTCTCAACTGGTCCATTCCTCAAACCCGCAAGCAGCTCCAGAGATTTTCAGGATTCATCAACTTCTACCGCCGATTCATCAGAAATTACAGTCAGACAGTAGCACCATTAACTGCTCTTACCTCCACCAAGATCCTTTTCACATGGACTGCCAAAGCTGATGCCACCTTTCTCAGTCTCAAGATCTGGTTCTCCCAACACCCATTGTCATCCAGTAAACAGTTCATTGTCGAAGTTGATGCTTCTGAAACTGGGGTTGGAGTTGTCCTTTTTCAGTGCTCTGGTTCCAACAACAAAATTCATCCTTGTGGTTTCTTTTCTTGCAGTCCCAGTCGAATGAAATCATGATGTGGGGGACCGTGAACTCCTGGCTATCAAGCTTGTTTTGGAGGAGCGCACCACTGGTTAGAGGGTGCTGGTCTCGACACATCATAAGAACTTGTCCTATCTTCAAGCTGCCAAAAGATTAAACCCCTGTCAATCTCAGTGGTCCCTGTTTTCTTCCCTGCTTTAACCCCCCCCCCCTCTCTCATATCAATCAGGTTCTAAGAACATAAAACCGGATGGGCTCTCCAGACTACACTCACCTGATGACCTCAAAAAGATGCTGGCACCCAGTCTTCTACCCAGTCCTTCCATTACTACCCTTACATACATTGAAGGTATTATAAACCAAGTTCTACAGACAGAACCAGACCTTGGACCCCTCTATCCAACATGACATCCAACATGACATACATACCCACCTTAGTCAGAGCCTGCCTCATCCATGGGATCCATTTGGCAAAATTCTCTGCACATCCTGGAAGCTGTCGGACCATCGCTCTCATTATTTGTCGTTTTTGGCGGTGATCCATACATAAAGATGTTAGAGAATATGTCCTCGCCTGTCCTGTCTGTGCCCACAATAAATCTTTCATACTAACCTCCATCAGGACTGCTTCAGCCTCTGGCCATTCCCAAGCGACCCTCGATTTTGTAACTGGAACTTACCCTAACCAAAGGTATGACCACAAGCTTCACTATGATTGACTGTTTTTCTAAAGCCAGTCATTTCATCCCTCTCAGAAAACTACCTACTGCCTTCCAAACTGCCCAACTCCTAGTCAAGCACATCTTCCATCTCCACAGCATCCCACAAGAAAGAAAGTCACACTTACATTCTGTTTGACCAGTAAAATGGTCAAAAAGAACGCATGAATCAGGAAGTAGAATCGACCTTTAGATGTCTCACTTCCACTAATCTGTCTGACTGGAGCCAGTACTTAGCAAGGACTGAGTATGCTCACAATTCGCATATCTCTGCTGCAACAGGTCTGTCTTCTTTTGAAATATCTCTTGGTTATCAACCTCCACTCTTCCCTGCAGGTGAGAAACAGATATCCATAACTTCAGTTATCATCAAGCATATTTGATCTAACACCATCACAGCCCTTAACTCTGGTGTGTGACTGTGGAGGTGTATTAGACCCCACTTGGCATAACATGGCTGTTATACGTTATGGTGGTGGTGTTAATTCATAACAAGGATCCTTTGTGTTACAACCAGGATGGTGGAGCGAGCTAACTGTGTTCTTTATTAACCATTCAGATTACCTGGCGACCTGTCCAGACTTGCCTATTGTGAGGTAATGCAAAAGTTTTGCAAGGGAATGCAATACTTTTGCGAGGTAATAGAAGAGACTGAAAAATCCTCCATGTCTCCTTGGGGGGCGCCATAGTATTCCACATTTTTAAAGTTTATAATTCAGCTTTACCTACTGAAATAGCATATTATTTTCTAACTGAGCTCATGGTGTAGTAGCGTAAAACCATGTAATAAATCCAGGTCTGACAGAGACATATTTAAGATGATTCTTTGACTGAACATCATATAAACTGACTGATTACATGCTGTTCATGCAGTGTATCATTTTGACTTTTGCTTTGTTTCTGTTTTCCAACTACAGAGGTGTTCCTGTAATGAACACCTGATTGGAAGACCATGGCCATGTAGCACATCCTCATCAACAAAGTCTGTACTCAGTGACTTGTTTGACTTGTATTTTTGGATTTGAATTGAACTGAGTTACTCTTGATCAACTCAGAGTCTTTTTTGTGTATATACTCCACAATGAATAATCCCAAATAATAATACTCGCAACCACAACTGCCAGTATTTTACAGTAAATTAGACACTTTCTTTTACAGTGTAGAAGATTACGGTGATGTAACATAGGATTCAGTGTTCAATGAGGCATCTATGTATTCATAAAGATGTTTCACTTTAGAGCCAAACAGGAAAACAAAATCCACTGTGGAAACACATTTCACCATGTAAATGTGCAGAACACTAGTGGTGTCTTCTAGGGCAGCTGATAACCTAATCATAAATAAATAGTGTGGAAATAATAAAAAAAAATAATTGAAAAAAAAAAAATCAACCTGAAATCCTTTCTGGCTCATGGCTTGCCTGTTCTCCTTTCTGCTTATGATAATATGATTTTTATATTTTACCTCACACCCTAAAGCTCCACATATCTCTTCCCCAAACCAGTTATTTTCATAATAAAGTTGTTTTGTTCTTATTTACAATGTAACTGGTTAATACATATTTTGCTAACCTGATTTAAGACCTCTCCTGAGCTTCCTCAGTCTCAGTCTCATTGTGATGAAATAACAAAACGCGTCAGTGAAGACTTGGGCTGGAATGCTTCAGTCTCTGTTGTGCCTGAAGAAGGCACAACAGAGACAGAGACTGGTGTCCTTCTATTGCTGCTCTGTTTAGTCGGTGTTGAGCCATGGCATCTCGCTGTGGATCTTCAGTTGCACTGCGGCAGAGAGGAAGCAGCTCCAGAGGGTCATAAACAACACCCAGAGAGTGATTGGCTGCCCTCTTCCATCTCTGGACTCACTGCCTCCAGAGAGTCCGCAGCATCATCAAGGATCCCTCACACCCTGGCCACCACATCCTCAAACTCCTGCCCTCAGGGAGGTGTTTCAGGGCAATAAAGTCAAGGACAAATGACTAAAAAACTGTTTCTACCCAAGAGCTGTTGTACTGAATACAGCTAATTTATTTATTTACGTATTTGTCTGTTTTCCTTAACATCCCAGTTGCTTTTTTGTTTTTTCTATTTTATTCTTGAGATATACTTATTTTATTAAACTATTTAACTTGCCTTCGAGAATAGCTATTTTTTAAATTTTGTTGTGCTTTTGTTCGTGCACAAAGACAATAAAAGGAATTCTGATTCCGGTAGAGTCAGAATGTCTGACTCTACCAGAATCTCTGTTCTAGTGAAGAGTTGTAGCATGCTGACATCATGCTGGCTAATGTTAAGACAGCAAAGAAAATTATGGGTAACCATGGCAACTAGTGACAGTTTAAATTTAGGCTGGCTCTTTTTGACATCAGGGTGCGCATGCATCCACCATATTTACAAACAAATAATCCCTCTGTATTTTCATTATTATAGATAATCTTGTTTGTCAACATATTTTCAACACTTTTGGAACTTTTGTGTGACAGTCTGCAGTGAAATGATCACTAAAGTACAGAAGATGGAGTAGGAAGCCATCTGTTCTCCGTACTTGCTTCGTCTATTGATCTTGAAGAGTTTTAGTTTTAGGGAATGAGAACAAGCTTGCTTGTTCACTGGTGTAATTAGTGATTAATTCACCGCCAGATGTCCTGTTGGCACAACAGTTTAAAACATTTAAAACATTTCAAACCATGTTTGAATTTAATTAGCATTTGACTTCTAACTCTGTGAATTATTTACATTTATACTGACAATTTATGCAAAGTTTCAACATCTTGTCAGTGACACTTTAAAGTTTAACCCAGACATCATCATTGTTGTCAAAATAATATTGGCAGATCAACTTGTTAGCAATCCTTGTGTTGAACATCCAAACATATTCATTGCTTCAAAGTATTTTAACTGGATGGTTGAAGTATTTTTGCTCATAAACTTGTGTATTAGAGAAAAGTTGTCTGTTTATTCTGCATATGAGCACAAAACCATGTAGTTTGACATCATTACTGAACTTAACTCGTCATCTATTGTTACTTAATACCCAATCCTCATCAAGCGAGTATTCATAAACAATAACTGAGAAAACTATTTGGCAATTGTTTTGTGATAATCAGTTGATGTCCCAACTTGGTAATTTTGATCTAAATGACTTATTTTGTTAACAACTGCTTATGGCATGTATTAATTGCTATTCATAGCCAAACCAAAACTATTGTCATACAACATTAACTTGTTGATTTGAAGGAAGACAAATATTCTTTGGTTACTACAGTGATAAAAAAAAAAGCTGGGGCAGCTGGGAAAGCTGTAGTATTGTTACCTGAAAAAGTAGAATGCTATCAGCATTAGAGCTCCAAGAACAGCTCCAACCGTGACTCCAGTTAAGGCTGATACTCCCAGTCCACCTAATCATGAGAAGTTGAGAAAAACGCAAACATAATGATACATTATCAAGTCAATGAAGCTGAAAGTTAAATTAGTTCTTCAAACAGGGAAATATGTTTACATGAATGATTTTCCACTTCTTTTTCTTTTTTTGGCACTTCCTTTCTTCTTGTCAGAGTGAAATGATCACTGTTGAAGGCAGGCAACAGCTGAAAAGTTTTATTTTCCCCAAAGTAGTTGACTACCACCTGTAAATCAGATATCTATATTACTTTCACTAACCTTTACAATCTTTTATATCTAAGGACTGATACAAGGTACTTTACTTTCTAGGGATCTTTCAATATTTTAATTACCTCATAGCTACCTGCTTCAATGTTGGTCATTGCCATCAAAGAGAAATCGCCGACTCTATCACCATTGACATCTATGGATACCTGGCCAGCAATTCCTATTCATCACCATAAAAAAAGAAATCATATGAAATACCTTAGTGTTAAAATTAAGTACACCTTATGTCAGTTATAGGGTTATTAATGATCTAGTCTTTACTAGGAACCTTGTGTAATAAAACCAGCAAAAATACTAATGTTTGTCAGAACTCAGGATTTTTGGGTTTGGTTTTGCTTATCATCAGGTTTCAGTTCACGTTAGGTTAGCCTTTCATGGTCATTTTAGTATTATTTTGATGTAAATTATTTTGGTTAGTATGGTCTTGGTTCTTGCTTTCCTTCATTCAGTTCCCTTGTAGTGTTTCCTGTTATGTTTCTTAGTTATTTCGTCAGTCTAGTTATTCTTATATGTCCGATTCTATGTATATCTTCCTTAAGTGGTCCTAGTTAGGTTATTTCTTTAATCCTTGTCATATTGGGTTCACGTCTTTTAGCCCACATACAGAACACAATCAGGAGAACAGGGAATCGGATAAATAAAGTTTATTTTAACAATGATGAAATATGAGATTTTGTGGTTCTTGTCCTGTGGATGGGAAGCCAGGGTCGTCAGAACTCTGAAGGCAGTGGGAGAGAGATGGTGAATAGATGGCAACTTGGACAGGTTGAATTCTGATTCAGTGGAATGATCTTCTTGGTGAAGTGGAGTTTCCGCCAGGGCAAGACTGTGTGTACTGTGGTGTCTGGGTTTGTAGTCCCTTTGCTGGGGATTCCTGAGACGATCCGGGTTCCTGTGATCTTGACGGAGAGTTCTTTGGAGGTAGATGGAAAAAGCTGGTGGTGGAGGGTGGACAGGTAAGTTCTTGTGAGGAAAGGCAAGGAGTGGTTCGATTGCCTGCTGTGAAACCTGGAGCTGTCAATGATTCCTCAGTCAGAGGGACTCGGGCAGCCAATGTGTAAAATCCACAGCGCCAAGAGGAAACACCTGAGGGAGAGGTGACAGGAAAATATTACTTGAGAACAATCTTTAGATAACTCAAAGAGCGGACTCAGAGGGGCTCAGAGTACCATAACTGGCAAACACTCAGGCGTCGAAGTGCTGGCAGCCATTCCTCACATACTCCAAGATGACGAGGTGATTGATCACTTGTGCACTGAATCCACACAGCAGGCACATCCTCCAGGTAAGTCAGCCTCTTGGGACCATCTAGTGGATGATAAGGGAAGCAGTAGAGAAACAGCAAATCCCTACAAAGAGCCAAAACCCCAGTTTCCAGCAATACCCCCACCCACTCAATGACTGCCACCTGGTGGCCCAGAAGAGCGTGAAGGAAGAGAAGAATGGTAGTCAGTGGTAAGCGAAGAATAGATGATCCAGGGACCCAAGAACGCTCTTCCAGGCCATAGCCATCCCAATCGATGTGGTATCCATGACCTCGTCGATGGGAGTCCACGACCCGGCGAACTGTGAAAGCTGGGTGCCCATCTATGTCTCAGGTGGGAGGAGGGGGCTTGGAAGGAGGGCAAAATGTGCTGGTCTGAACAGGTTTGACTTTGTAAACGTGGAACATGCAATGGATGCAAATTGATGATGGGAGGCGGAGACAGACAGCGGTAGAACTGATGACCTTTTCAATTATGTAGGGACCAATGAACATGGGGGAGAGTTTTTTTGGACATGGAGTTAAGAGGGATGTCACGTGCAGAAAGCCAAACCTTTTGTCCAGGTGAATACTGTGGGGAAGGTGTTCTCTTGCGTTCAGGATAACGTCAATTTTGTTTAGCGGTGTGATTGAGGGCAATGATAGTTCTATTCCAGATATTTTTGCAGCGGCGGATGTAGTGTTGAACAGATGTCACAGAGATCTTTTTCATTTGAGGGAAACAGTGGTGTTTTCCCTCAGATGAAAAATGAAACCAGGGAAATAAGGAAAAGAAATGTGAGTGTTATGTGAATATTCAACCGAAGGGATGTACTGACTCCAATCAGACAGAGTACTGGAAGTGAAGCATCTGAGGGTGGATTCAAGTTCTTGATTCATGCATTTAAGTCGGTCCATTAGACTGGGAATGCTAACTGGATGCAAGTGTGACTTTAGCTTCCAATGCTGAACAGAAATGTCTCCATACATGGGATGTGAATTGTGGACCACAATCAGAGAAGATTTCTTGGTTATAAGACATGCTGGAGTTGTGAGCAGTCTGGAAGGCTGTGGGGAGTTTTTTGAGTATGACGAGATGACATGATTTAGAGAAACAGTCAATAATTGTTAGGTGTCAATAATTGTTAGGTTATGGTCATACCTTTAGAAACTGGGAGCCTGGTGACGAAGTCGATTGAAATGTGTGACCAGGGGTGCTTGGGGATGGACAGAGGTTGCAGAAAACTGGATCGAGGTTGATGTGATGAAGTGAGCTGAGAATTTAGCGGAGTGGACCCAATGAATTAAACGGGCTCGGATGGAACTGAGGATGAAGACCTTGTTGCGAGGGACTGAGTCAGGGAGAGGTTCAGATTGTTGAGCTTGACGGATGAGATCTTCGATTTCCCAAGTGAAGGCTATTATACAATTCTGCCCTTGTTTTATTGTCCATAGTTCATGGGGGTTGGATGTTTTATCGGATTCTTTACTAAATATTTAAATTCTTACAAAAAGTCATGAAATGTACAACCAAAATCAGCAGGTGTAGGAAACCTTGCTTCAACCCAGTCTAATGCTCGGCCAGTCAAAAGTGAAATTATGAAAGCTATCAGCATCATCATGGGAAAAACTTCTAGGGGAATGATTGAATATAAGAGAGCATTGTAGAAGGAAACCCTTACATCAGTTTATCACCTGAAAGTAGATGGACGGACTTCGGAAAATGTGGAGTGGAACGGTGGTTGTGGACCGGTGGTTCTGGACTGGGAGCAAGGGCAGGAGCTGAAGCTGGGGTCTGTTGGAGAGAGCTTTGTAAAAACTTAGACAAGTCTTTGAGGCGATGGTTAGTTTCGGCTTGGCTAGCACCCAAGTCTTGTAAAGCGATTTCATGAGATTGAATTAGAGAATGTTGTTCTGCCATACTTCTCCTGAGAGCATCTGTGACTGCAGGCCTGAATGTTCTGTCATGTTGGGCTCACATCTTTTAGCCCCCATATATAGAACACAATCAGGAGGACAGGAAATCAGATAAAGTTTATTTTAACAATGATGAAATATGAGATTTTGTGGTTCTTGTCCTGTGGAAGGGAAGCTGGGGTCATCAGAACTCTGAAGGCAGTGGGAAAGAGATGGTGAGTCGATGGCAACTTGGACAGGTTGAATTCTGAGGTAGTGGATTGGTCTTATTTTGTGAAATAGTGAGTTTCCGCCAGGGCGAGAAGTACTGTGGTTGTGGTCTCTGCATGGGGTTCTTGAGATGATCCTTGAGTGATCTTGATGGAGAGTTCTTTGGAGGTAAATGGAAGAGGCCTGCGGTGGAGGGCGGACAGGTAAGTTCTTGTGAGGAAAGGCAAGGAACGGTTCGATTGCCAGCCGTGAAACCAGGAACTGTCGATGATTCTTCAGCTGAGGTGGAGAGGGTCTCAGGCAACCAGTGGGTAAAATCCAAGGCACCATGAGGAAAACACCCAAGGGAGAGGCGACAGGAAAATATTATTTGAGAACAATCTTTAGATAACTCAAAGAGCAGACTCCATCAGAGTACCATAACTGGCAAACACTCAGGCGTCAAAGTGCTGGCAGGCCGCTCCTCATATACTCCTAGATGATGAGGTGTTTGATCACAGGCGCGCTGAATCCAGACAGGAGGCACACTGTCTGGATTCAGACAGGTAAGTGCAGCCTCTTGGCACTATCTAGTGCAAAGGTGTCAAACTCCAGCCCTGGAGGACCACTGGCCTGCAACTTTTAGATGTGCCTCTGCTGCACCACACCTGAATAGAATAATTAGGTCATTAGCAAGGCTCTGGAGAGCTTATCCTAACAAGAAGGAGATAATTAAGCCATTTCATTCAAGTGTTTTGTACCTGTGGCACATCTAAAAACTGCAGTACAGTGGCCCTTGATGACTGGAGTTTGACACGCCTGATCTAGTGGATGATGAGAGAAGCGGCAGACAAACAGAAAATCCCCACAGAGAGCCAAAACCCCAGTTTCTAGTTGTTCCTTATTTCAGCTCCCTTGCAGTGTGTCTAGTTTTCTTATCTAGTTACTGTAGCAGCATAAATTGTACGCTGCCACTTCAAGGCCAATTTTGGCTGCTGCATATAAGCAGGTCTCCACCTGTCATGAGGTTGCTTGCATCATGCCATTGTCTCCATCTGCTTCCTTCGTTTGTTAAATTGTGCTGGGTAAGGGTGGCTGTTTCATTTTTTGTCAGGTTTAATAGTAGCCATTAATGCAAACTGGTCTGATCTGTTTAGCCTTCTTTGCTGCACCTCCAACATCTGGACGGATCTGTCCATTTATTTGTTTGCTGGCGGGAAGGTAAGGGCTAGCCTGGCTAGGTAACATCCATCCCCCAAAGCCTTTACATAGCATTTTGTTACAGCTGCACTGCGGGTCTGTTTATCTGGCAGTGTGGTAAGTGTGGTAAGCAGCTGCTGTAAGTTATATTTTCCATCAGCATTGTATTAATAATCTGCTCTATTTTTTTTAGTCTTCTGATGAGTCTCTGATCAGCATTACACCTGGATTGACACTCGCTGCTGTTTTGCCTGTAAAGAAATGTTTTAAAAGACCAACCTGAGCTTTCCTCTGCTGCCAGTAGCATTGATGGCACTACTAATGGGATAAAGTGCAATATTGTACTGCTACTGTATCACAGTTTTACTATTGTTTTATTTTTGTCTTTCTTTTAGGGCAGGGGTGTCCAAAGTCTGTCCTTGAGGGCCGGCATCCAGCATGTTTTAGTTCTCTCCCTGGTGGTAGTAACAACCTCCTCAGCAAGTCAGTGTTCTGCTTAGGTCTTCTAATGACCCATCATTTGATGCAGGTGTGTAAAACCAGGGAGAGAACTAAAACATGCAGGATGCTGGCCCTCGAGGACCGACTTTGGACACCCCTGTTTTAGGGACTAAGGCTTCTGTGGTGGCAGTGATGACCCCTGGTGGCAGTGTCTTGCCTTGTATGTTTTGAGGAAGCACCTTTTTTTTGTTTGCTGTGTTTTTGTAGTGTCCGGGGTGATCCCTTTACTTCACTGGATGTTGCCCCTTTCGTCACTACTTTCCCCATTGGTAAGCCTCAGTTTCCTTTGAAATTTAAACATTTTATTATAATCAATTTTGTTAAAAATGCATTCACTGTTTTTACCATTCAATTTCATGTTGTTAGTTTAAAAACATATTGAAGTTTAATAAATTTTTTAGAACTTTCTGAATCTCTTCTCCTCATTTCCAGCAGAACTTACCTGTGTCCTCATTACATTTTCCTGGAGTTATTCCAGGTGGCATTGTTGGTTTCGCATTTGGTAAACTTTAACATCCTACATTTGGGTTTCATAATAAAGAAAATCCACCCCAGGTTGCCACACTACCTTAGGTTTAGTTCTGTTATGTCTGCATCCATGCCCCATCTTCCTTTAGTAATTCTAGTTAGGTTATTTCTAGCTCCCCCTTAGTGTTTCTAGTTTTATTATCTCGTCACTTTAGGTTTAGTTAGTCTTTTTGTCTGAATCTATGTCCGTCTTTCTTTAGTGATTCTAGTTAGGTTATTTCTTTGTTTAGATCCTCTAGTTACTCTAGTTCTATGTTCCTTAGTTCTTATTATTGTTAGATCATCCTTGTTTCTGTTTAGGTTTGGTTATGGTTTTCCTCATGTCTATCATGTTTATCAGGTTCTCTTTACTCTTAGTGTGTCTTCAGCATTAGAAGTATTTTCAGCTCTCTGTTTCCTCCCTTTTGTTTTCCCCAGCAGATCTTCTTAGCTTCCCTGTGCCGCCTTCTCCCTGCCCCTCAGCTAGTTCCTGTGCCAACTACTCACACCTGCAATCAGTTATCTCATCTAGCTAGACCTATTGTGTCTTTTACTGCCTTTCCATACTTAAGCTCCTCTATCTCAGTCACAACTCGTCAGTCCGTCTCATCACTATGCTTGTCATTTTATTCGTCACTACCCTTGTTACCATCCCTGGATTACCTGTTGTTCCTTCCTGTTTCCAGTTTGCTTTGCGTTTTGGATTTCCTTGTTTCCCCTGGATTTTGGATTTTATGTTGATTGATTTTCTTCATTAAAATATCCACTTATTCTACGTCTACAGCCTGCTGCATTTGGGTCCACTTCTACACTCATGATAGTTTTACCTCAAGTAGATTAGTTTGAACATTTCTAAACAAAACACAGTGATTACTGTTCAAAATATAATAGCAATCTTTAAAATAAACAATCTTTCCCTTTTTCTGTGAAAAGGAAGTTTTAAAATTTGTCAAAGTACTGCACTTCATAATTTTTTGAAGCACCTAATGTACAAGCTTTGGGTTAGGGTTAGTTGATTGATTAGTTAAACATGTTGGCCTATTCTTGTAGTTTTCCTATTAACTAAAATATTGCTCTTCATGATATGCCAAAACTCATAATTAGTTCAAAAATATAAACGTCATGGTTTTGGGAATTCTTTTTGCCCATACATAGAACACATAAGGAAACTAGATAGGAAAATAATAAAGTTTATTATAAAATAAAAAAGAATAATGTCTTATGCATCTTGTCCGAGGTTCAGGAAATTATGTAACTGGAGCAGGCATGTGGAGAGGGAGGGGTTTGGGGGGCTTGAGCACCTGCCCCTTTTTGCTTCTTGCCTCCAAGTGCTTCTTTGGTATTATTATTTCCTAAACCCTCTTCTGACACATAAATAACATGTACTAAAATTATTTGGTTTTGTGTTGGGGTTTTTAGCCCTCCGGTCACCTTGTTACCTTTGACCTTTTGCCCTTGACGCATGATGCAATTGCCTCTTGCACAGTGAGATAAAGCGGCTAACTGGAGCTCAACGTAGCGAACGTTCCAGATTACAGAACTGATTTTGGTGAATAAAAAAAAAACGTTTTTGGTGAATAAAGTGGAGTAGACTTGTCAGATGACGGAAAACGTTGAACGTTGTATCGTTTCTGCTTCAGCACGGAGTAGTGGCTTAAGCAGAGAGGTAATGAAATACAACAGACACTGA